GTCTGCATTTTCCACAGAACTTCTTTCCCTCGCCGCTGCCGCAGGTCAGACAAGGTGACGGCTCCCTGCTGACTGTGATTCATGGGTGTGCTAGGCAGCATTTAATGAGAGAGTAACTCAACCCTTTTATCACACCGAGTGCTGAAATAACAAATGAGCAACAGAGGAAAGAAGGCTGTGGGTTTAGGACTGATCTGGTTAGTGTTTAATGGTTTGCTTTATAATGGTGGTTAAATGTATTTTTCGTTATTTGCAGAGCATTATTTAAGTTGTTTCTGTGTGAGCAGATGTCCTTGCCTATGGCCTTGCAGATCGATAAAGTAAAAAGCCAGAACAAACACTCAGTGTTGCACTGGACATCACAAACACAGTATCTGTGTGTGTACAGTGTGTGTGTGGATCTTTCAGCGCCACTAATGTGATTAAAAGAGGGAGAGAAAAAAAGTAAAAAGAGAGTGGATTACCTAAAGTAATGCCAACTTCAATGTTAAAATGCAAAGTAATTGATTAACCTTATTAACCTTACTTTTACTTGTTCCTCAAATGGTCCTTTTCCCTTTTACTTGAGCCATTTGCACCTTTACATGAGTATAGATTTTCAGTAATCTACCCACCACTACATTTTATAAAACTGAATGATGATTTAAATTACTGCAGTAAAATTCTGGGCAGATTAATGAATAATAAAGATAAGTAGCAGCCCTTCTGCCGACCCTCTGAGAGTGGGAACAGTAACAAGAGCCTTACTTCTCCTCTACCTTTGAAGAGCGTCAAAATTGGTCGATAGAGGAGGTGAGGCGGGGCCCATTCATAAATTTGACTTGAACAAATACTGATAAACGTGTGTCTTTGGATAGAGTTACAGTAGACAGAAACAGAGAGTGTTGCACCACTTTATGTGACCACCTCTAGGTGTCATTTGAAGCATCCCAACCTTTTGTCTTGAGACAACTTAAAAGGATTAAATGTCTACTTGCTGCTGATTCTCATCACAGATTACAGTCGTACTGTATGTCTGCCCTTTGTCGACAGTCAGAGGACAGTTACAGTTCAAAGATGATTTATTTCAGTCTTTTTATTGGCCTACAGTACTTTACTCATCGCTGGCAAACTTTAAAATTGTTCCTGTGTCTGCTGTCTGCTGTCATTTTAGTGTTATATTGGTCCTTTTACTCCCAGATCCAGATCCATCACTCTTCACCCCTTCACCACCACCACCACCACCAGTGTCTAGACTCCATCTGGGGGATATTACAGCTCATGGCATCAGTATCACCTTAAAATAATGACATCACAACGGGGTCTAATCGCCTCTCATATTTCTGCAACTTTCCTATTGTTCAACTATGGGAATAAATGAATTACTCTCAAAGCTTTTTCTTCACTTAAGTCACTCCTGAATAGAATAAATGGCAGAAACATCTTTTTTTTTCTATTGTCACCTTGATCTGAGCCAAGACTGGGTTATGTTCTTTCATTTGTTTACAAAAATGTATAATACATTACTGACTAAATGTGATGTTTGTCTACAGCAGGATGTGTCAAAAAAAGACAAAGGCTTCTACAAACCGAACCTCTACTGCAGCACAACAGCAGTGCCAAAGTTGCTGTTAAATCCAAACGAGGGCAAATGTAATCTGGGATGGAAATTAAATCAACACATAATGTACTTTCTGTTAAAAAAAAAAAAAGGAAGAGTGCGCTACAGTTCAGCCCTTTTTATTGTGGGTTATCTCTAAATTGCTTCTATACTCGAGCGCTACAGTCATTTGGCAGCTGCTTAAGACTCCCCCCCCACTTTAATTGCGTGCAGTGCATTTAACTGTCAGCTCAGGTTTGGCAGTTTGTCTGCTGTCTGCTAAATAAAACATGAAGCGTCTATTTCTGTCCTCTCCAAAAACACTGTGCTCAGGAAGTGACTGCTGTTGCTGCTGCTTAGCTGGCCTGTTGTCATGTCAGAGATAACCCATCATTTGATGCCAGAGCTTTGATTAATGACCTTATGTTTTCTACAGCAGATTTCTATGTGTTACTTTATGCGTTAAATACCACAGCTGAGGATGGCGGAGCCTAATAATTACTCTATTGGGGGAAATTAATTGAAATTAGTTGAAATGTCGGAGCAGTTAGGGGTTAGGTGCCTTGCTCGAGGGCACCTTTAGCTGTTCCCCCTGGAGATGGCACCTCTCCAGCTGCCAGTCTACCTTCATATCGACTGGTCCACGCTGGACTTAAACTGGCCACCCTCCAGTCGCCAAGCCATGTCCCTATAGGCTGAGCTACTGCCGCCCCCGTTCAGTTCAGCAACAAGAATGAGGAGCTGCAGGGACAAATAAATAAAAAATACTGCACTAGACTAATGCAGACATGAGACGTTAGTTTAGTTTGTTCAGCAGGTTGTTCTGTGTCTGAGGAGCCTTATTATCACTCACTTTTCCTACTAAAACTACTTAAAACCATTGTAACAATACACTTTAATCTGTCTTTTTCACAGAGAAATACATTAAACAACAATCCCCACTTAACAATTGTCACCAGCCAGAAGGTGTAAACATTCAGGGATTAGTTATTTTTTCCTTTTACAGCAGCTATATGCATTTTTCAAGCCAGTTGTGATAATAAAATGCCTAAAAATATCTACATTGTTTCGGGGAAAAAAACAACATGATAGTTGCTCAGGGAAAACACATCATCCTCTAGAATGTAAATCCTGTTTGTCTTCATCAATCTGAAACCAGAACATAAGAAATGTTGAGGATGACTTATTTTCACCTCTGCCACCTAAAAAGAGGCAAAAAAGATCTGATTATATTATTATTTAGGTTATATAACATAGGTAAGGATTTGGCATAAACAGCATCACTAATCTTGAAACCTTTTTTTCCACAGTCCACAGAACCTCGCCATGACAATGTTAGAGCAGACCTATAGATGGCGATATTTCCAGTAATAGTACTTTTGCTCCATTGATTTGTCCAGACAGTGAGACTGAGGGGAAATGTTAAAAAGTTATTTTAAAATCCTAAAAGACATCTGATTGTGACCATACATTATTTGTGTTACACAAAACAACTACAAATTGATGCAAAATGATCATCAAAGACATGCAGAGGAACTACAAAGTGGTACAACTTTGCAAAAGGACCATAAAGTGAGATGCATAACCACCACAAGTCTGGATGTCATGCAGAAGGCTTGTATGCAGGAGCGGTGTGGGACCTGTTATCTCATGCCTGTAGTCTGTTTATTGATATAATTTCTTCTTAGAATATCTACATATATACATACATACAACATAAGTTGTTCATTTGACATTAATTTATTACACTGAATAAACATTGTAACCATAATCTTGTGAAGTGGAATATTGCCAAAGTAAATTTAAGTCTTAACACATTTTAATTCCCCTTTTTTGAATGTTAATGGCTTATTTTGTAATACATTAGTACATTACTTATTACCATTAATAAAACATAGTTAACCTGCAGATAGTGCAGAAGGGTTACTTGAGTGTGATTATTAGAGCATTATTAAATAGTGAAACCAAATAAATAATAAGATTTAACATTTACACCCTGCATCACACGTCAGATTAATCAGTTTTTACAAGAAAAAATATGATTTAATTGACAACCAAATGTGTCTAAATTTAAAAATTTAGGATTTAAGCTCAAGTTTATTCTGTGAATGTGTGGACAGATGCTCTAAAGCAGGGATAAAAGGGCCACCTCATCCATGGAGGAATAACTTTACCAGATGCCTCCTCTAGCGCAGCAAATATTAAAAAATGCTCCAAATCCGGATGCGCGCTGCGTCCGGACATTACGGTAGGAGAGTCCTCAGGTAAAGGTGCAGGTGATTGACAGGTGAGAGAAGTGACGCATCGGGACGGACCACGAGAGCAAAGGGAAGATATAGACTGGATTATTTCATCAACCAACCGGCACAGGTACAGATGTGAGAGGTCGAAAGGAATATTAAGGTAAGTTAATGAACACGAGTGTATCGTTAATTCATCACTTTGGATGCTAAACGTCTCATAAGCCAATTCGCTGTGGAGACAAATACAGAATATGACATGTAGATAAAGTTAGGGTGGGTGTATTGCTGACTGATGGCTGATGGCAGCCTGTGAAACTCGCCTGGTGAGCTCTGAAACAACGAGCTTACAGTGGAGTAATACAATTTAAAGCTCACTGCTGAATATTGTACATGAATTCATTCTTAATTTCACGAGGATGTTGTGATAGATAATCTTATAGAGAGAAGTTAAAGCTGTGTGTAAATATCCATGACCATCAGGTTGTTATCGTACTGTGGGTTTATTGTAGCAACATATGATTAAAGAATATATATTTCACACAATAATGTTATTTAGTTGTTTAATTTAAAGGTGAAATTCAAGCATTCTGTCTATTTAAAAATCTTATATATATAACATATATATGTATATAACCTCTGCACAGGCTGTAAATTGTAGTGGAGGTCCCAGTGTTGACAAATGTACCAAATATGTCTAATTTAATACTAAATTTGGGGAAAATGTCTAAAATTATGCAAACAGGGGCAGTATGGAAATTAGAAATGGCTGCCCATCCCTCTTTGGTGTCAAATGCTGTCAAATTTACATTAATTTAAATTAATTTTAAAAATAACAGATTTTATAGACAGTATTTGGAAAAATGTCTGAAGATTTGGAAATGAAACAATGTATTGATTTCTAATGCCACCTTTAGATATTTCTCTTCTTTGTGCCACAAATGTAATAGGTTTGAGTTAAAATATATAGTTAAAATATCTTCATTTGGAGGCCTCTCCGAGCAAGTATTGATATATGCGGTTGTCAGCATCCCGCCCTCTTGGTACCACATGAATCTTTCTCCAAACATGACAGATGAAAGCCATCCAAAATCTCACTCTGTTAACTTTTTACTGGTAAAACTTTAATGATACTAAAAACAATGGATAACCCACTTTTCCCCTCCCTCCAACCTCATCAGGACATCTATGGAGCTGTGCGGTCCCAACATGAGTGAGAGTGGAGGCTCGCTGTGCCAGGTGAAGCAGCTTCCCCGCCACAGTGTCCCCCTTTGTCGCCTGCAGGCCAGCAGTGGACTCCACATGCACGACCTCCCCCACCTCACCCACCAGCCGTGGGTCAACCACCCGGTCCCTACCGTCGCCTCCAGCCCAGCCATCCGCCACAGGGCAAAGGGAGCCATGATGGCCAGTGGCGGCAGCAGCCAGGAGTGTGCGGCCTCCAGACTGGGAGAGGAGGCGGCGCTGACCCGAGGCATCTCCACGGGGAAGGTGTTGGTGACGGGAGGAGGGGGATACTTTGGGTCCAAGCTGGGGAGAGAACTAGCCACTCAGGGGATGTCAGTGATCCTTATGGACATAAACAAGCCTCCCTGTGATATCCCTGATGGAGTGATCTTCTATCAGGTATGGGACAGTGGAGAGGGACCTGACTCTGTTGTCTGCTTGTAAATGTACTCTGTAAAATCCTGCTATTATACTGATTAATATTTATCTATATTTCCCCTGCAAGTTTACCCTGAATAAGGCGATTTAGTTCCAGCCAGTGTATCTGTACAGAGCACATAAACACTGACAAGGGGCAGTAATTACATTCAGCTGTTGTTACTGTTTCTTTGTTTCTGGCATTTCAACCAATAACACTGTTCCTCCATTACTTTTTCTTTAGCTCTGACATGTTAGTCCCTTTTCTACACTGCACTTTATAACAGAACCTCATATTAAAGGCCTAATACTTAAGGACCAGTAGGCTTCTTCTTGTGAACTACCAAACAAAACGGTGCATAATTTGGCAGAAATATAAGTTACATCCACCTCCACACAATTTGTGAAGAGGAACAGAAGAAAGCATTGTTTTTTCTGTAAATTAAAGGTGGGGTTAGCAATTCTGGAGAAATCCAATATCATGACAAATACTTGATATAGTGTGAACAGTTGCAAGTGATGTTACAGCAGCTATGTTGCAGCTAACCTACAGACAGCGATACTTCCCTGCTATTATAGCTAACATCAGAACAACAGCTTGTTCTTGGCAAACTAGAAAGTAACCTGATTGTCCGTTGGCAAGTAATTTAACACACAAACCCTGGCAGGAATATTAAGTTAGTGTTGTGTGGCTTGGTCTGATCCACTTTCTCTGTTTCCCGTTCATGGCTGTGTACAAACACAGTGCACACACAAAATGCACAGTTAGCAGACATTACTTGTAATCGCAGAGCCCACCTTTAATTTTTTAATTGACAAACTTACATATTACATTTTAATATTAAGTAAAATCCAGAACTGTTTCATTTGATTTCAACCAGGGGTCCTAACTTATGGGACTCTTATTCTCATTCAGTTTAAATGACATCTTTCTTGAAGGCATACATAGTAAAATATTAATCACAAAAAATGGTTTATAATCTTGCTTTATATATTATTTAGGCTGAGGTCATTACTGTAAAACTCTCCCAGCACTTGAATCCTCATTGTTATTTCTATGTCATTTTAATGTCTGCCCTCTTTCAGTACACACTGATTAAATCCTGCTTACAGCAATATGTTTGACTTCTTGCTATAAACAACATGGAGTACACACTATGTGTTTGAACTTACTGCACTGCTCCGTGCAGACTTTAAAAATCAATTTGTTGCTTCAGCGTCAGTGAGTCTCTGTGGTGAGGCTGCGAGCTGGCTGGAAACAGACACAGGTGAGTGATCCGCCTCAGAGGGCCAGCTGCTGACTGGGTCGGAGAGGGTGGAGACATGATTCGGGTTTCACCTGCAGGCCTCATGGCACACTTACCTTAATTACAACTGTCTTTTCATGGGACTGTTTCTAACTCACTGCCCAAAATGTATTCTGAACCTGCAACGCTTCCAACCGCTGTGGGCAGTAAATGTACTAGTGATAATAACACATAAAAGTGCTCAAAGGCAATACTTGCTGTCTTCTAAGTGTCCTCCATGTTGACATTCATTGATTAAATGTAAAGCTTCTTCCCCCTGTTCTTACAGAGTGACATCCGGGACTATTCCTCTCTCTATAAGGCGTGTGAAGGGGTCGACTGCATATTCCACACGGCGTCTTACGGCATGTCCGGACCAGAACAGGTGACTTCCCTTCATGTCTTCTTCAGTATCTGCTTACTACCTAATCATTAAAAAAAAAAGTCAGAGACACAGAGTCTGTATGTAGTGAGGATGTTCATGAAGTGGCAAAATAAAGAATTCACATTACATTTCCATTCACATTGAGGAGTAACAGCTGTGTATTATTCCACAATAATAACAAAAACATGAGCCACAATTACATAAACAAAAACAACAAAAACAGACTCCTTGTAAAAAATAATGTATTTGACCCTGAATGAGTTCTCTGAAACTTCCTGGAATGATTTAAGGTGGAGTCAGTAATTATGAAGAAATATTGTTGGTATTTGAACTCAACACACATTCAGCAGGTTGGCATGTGCCAGATTTACCATCCTTTTCCATCCACTACGCTCTCCACCCTCCCTCTGTCCCGTGCACTAGCATGGATACCCCCTGTTGCTGATTGGATGGAATAGTGCGGGGTTCCTACGCATCCTGGAAAAACCTGGAAATTTAGAGAATACTTTTCCAGTCATAGAAACACCTGGAAATTGATTAAAATGACCAAATATCCTAAATATAATCTATGTTGCCGTGGAAAATATTATATATTTATATATATATTTATATATATATTTTATCCTCTCACTAATCACTCGTCTGTTGATAAGCTGCACCGTACGACCCTTCAAAGCGGGTGTAATAGACATAAAGCGTAATGGAATAATGCTCCTTTTTCATTTTGGTTCCCATTTAAGTCCCCTTTTTCGGGAATTCTCAGAGAAGAACAGTGGAAATGTTGTAGGCGGTCATATCTACATGCGTACAGCCTATTAATTATTTATATTTTGTTGTGGTTGATACATGCATTCATAATTGGCTATAGGATGAGAAGATTCATTTTCTGTAAAATAAATCCTGCTTGATTTGAGCTGTTACTTATGAGCTGTGGCCACATTAATGAAACTATAGTAAACTTTAGTCCATTCACCAGAGACTGCAGAAAACCGTCAACTAACGCAGAGTGTCCCATAAACGCTGACCACTTACTTGTAATGAACCTGAGGAACTTCATGAACCCTGCATCATTAAAGTAGGATTAAATGTGCCTGGAAAATGATTTATTAAAAAGAGTTTGAACCCTGATAATGTTGTGTGACTCAGTTTGGGTTTTCCATTTACAGAGCCAGGGCGGTGTACCAGCACTTTAGTGCACACACAGAACACACAGCTAGTGGACCGTCAGGAGATATTCCCTGAATTTCACAAAAAGTTTTTTCGATTAGTATCACTGACTGCATCTTTAAGTCTCAAGCCTTTGTAAATCATTATCACAGCATATGTTATATTAGACCTTCCTTCCTATCAATATTTAGGAATCATAACAAGTTTGATAAGCTTGTAGCGGTTAATGCAGCCTCGAGGTGCTAGTCTAAAGCAGAGACGAGGAGCGAGCTACAGAGTTCTGGTAAACTCACACTTCTTTCTATCTCCAAACCTACAGATCATTTTCAGTTTCAAATTTGTAGCCTTCAGCCCCAACCGATGCTGACTGATCAAATCAAGTCAATTGATCAGCCAGCCCTTTGAAGACATTAGCAGCTGAGCCAAAGTGCTTTCCAGTCGAGGCAGATGGGTTAGCATCAGCCTCAATACAGGTGTGCATGATAAAAGGTATAGTACAAAAAAAATTAATAATACATAAAGCAATGCAAAGCAGCAAGGCAAATGGAAACCTAAAATAACTAACAGGATAAACTCATAATCCAAGTAGTGAAGTTAGGAGAAATAGAATAAAACCAGCAACAGATTAAAATACTGTAAGAGGACGTCAGAAATAAGGTAAGAGAGGACAGAAACCGTGGGGCCTCTTTGTACCCCATTAAAGGACCAGTGTGTAGGATTTACTGGCAACTAGTGGTGAAATCGCCGATTGCAACCATCTGAAAACCCCTCAGCCTTCCAAGTGTGTAAGAGAAACTACGGTGGCTGCAAAACTCACAAAAAGGCTACAGCCAGCGTTTGGTTTGTCCGTTCTGGACTACAGTAAAAACATAGCGGTTTAACATGGAGGATAAAAACAACTCATTCTAAGGTAACGAAAACACAACGATTCCTATTTT